TCGCCCTTTCTGGCAGTCTCTTCCGCTGCAGCGGGTCGTCCGGCCCGCTGACCGACGTGGGGGCGGTCCGACCACGCTGCGCTTGGCCAAGGCCAGCGCCAACGGTAAAGGCTCATTAGGCAAGTTTATTCCTACTTCTGCCATACAAATGGGATAAAAAGATGTTCTGTGACATCTGAGTGCAAGTTTAACCCAACTAAGTGTCACTCGAGCCCACGGCCACGCTGCGCTTGGCCAAGGCCAGCGCCAACGGTAAAGGCTCATTAGGCAAGTTTATTCCTACTTCTGCCATACAAATGGGATAAAAAGATGTTCTGTGACATCTGAGTGCAAGTTTAACCCAACTAAGTGTCACTCGAGCCCAATCGGCAGAAACTTGGCAACAAACTGTTGCTACCTGAAACACTCTGCTAGGGAAGGTACAGTTATTGCACCTTAGCAATCCTCACAGCCCAGAGGAGGTTACCGCGGTGAGAACGGGCTCACTAACACCACCAGTGCTTTCCAGGAGTTTCTGGAAGTAAGACTGCCCCCACTAGTAACAACAAAACAAATTAAGTATGGGAATATTTTTCAAACGAACAAATGACAGCCTCACAGCAAGATCACATCAGTTTTATAAACATGGTTACTGCTTTTTTGGAGTCTGAGCAATAATAACTGTGTGCAAACAGTGAGAAGCCTGGTGAAACAAACGGACTTTTAAAGACGACTGGCATGCTGCAAATACGCTTTGCTAATATTTGTGTGGAGGGCTCATCTGCATTAAATGCGATCAAATAAAAAGTTTTAGAGAAAAACAGACAAGAGCTACGCAGTTGGGCTGCGTTCGGTTGGCTGCTCTGCTCGGGAAGCTGGGAAAGGCTGGCATGGGCAGCGGCTGCAGCCGGGCGCTACGTCCACGGCTCTGCCAAGGCACCTGCACCACGTTCCCTGCGCGGCTCAGTTGTGCCAAACTGAACGGCAACACCCTCAATGCTCACGCATATTTAACTGTACGCAGCTCAGAGCAGCAAAACTCAAAAACTTTTATTTGGAATTGAAGCCTAGAGCCAACAGCGAAGGTCTGCCCGTTAAGCTCTGAGACCTCATCTCTGGGTTAGGACAAGAAGGAAAAGAGTTAACGTTGGAAAGAAAAAAAAGGATCTTGCTTGTGCTTTTATCTAATCTTGGCTGGACACAGCATATTACGCAAAATACCAAGGAAAGTAGCATATGCAAGATCCTTTACTACTTGAAAGAATCCGTATTATCTCAAACAGAAATCACGCTGCGTCTTGCCCCTTTGAAGTTCTGCTACTATTTTTAATCATGGAGTTGGGATTTGGCTCTTTAGGTGAATTCACTGGTAATTTATGCTAACAGATTTCTGCGCTAGTGCTATATGTATATCTCCATCTCTCTCTAGATGCCGTGGCCATGATAACCACAGGAATATTATTAATACATTCACCATAAAACCATAAAATTGCAGCACTGCTGCTGTCCCGTTCCCGAGCGGGGCGCACGGGACCCGGGGCTGCAGCGCCTCTGCAGCACGCACGCTGACTCCCTCCCGTCCCCCATAGCTGCTGCTGGCTCAAGTTCATACAAGGTCCTTCCCAGAGCTGAAAACATCGCAC